TGAAGATTTATTGTCTTAGCAGTATCTGTCTCTTGTTCAATTCACCACTTTGGTCCAGACTGCACTATTGAAATATCTATGGATGGGCTGTCATGAAACTTTGTATGGACGTTCATGGTGTCTGGATTTTGCACACTGACTCTGGTGTTCCCTTGACTTTTGCTCTAATACCAAGTTGTGATCACTTTTCCTTTGGACAAGACAAAGGAGATGATAGTGGACATGAGGAAGGAGTGGAGTACTCATCGGCCACTGTTCATCCTGGAGCTCGAAGTGAAGAGGGTGAGCAGCTTCAAATACCTGGGTATCCACATCAGTGAGGACCTCACTTGGACACATAACACCACACAGCTGGTCAAGAAGGCTGTACTTCCTGAGGAGGCTGAGGAGGTTTGGCATGTAAACAGCTGAATCAGGATTTACCTCATGTAATTCCATCTGTACTGTTTACATATTCAGTTTGCACGTGCATAATTGCACACTCACTGCTGAATATTTGCACTTTATGGCTCCCACACAGCATATATTCTCTCTGCATTATATTGTGTTCTTGTTGTATTTTTATTTGCCTCCTTCACTTGCTGCTTTAAAGTGCCTTAGATTTGTGTTACGTCCTATTTAGATTTGTGTTATTGCTCATCTACTTTATATTTCACTTGTATTGTGTGGCATTCATGTGGACGGCAAAGTAAGAATTTCATTGTACAGGGAAACACGTTTCCTAACTGTGCATATGACAAATAAACACTCTGACCTTGACCTTTACCATATATAAAAAACAGTTAAAATCTCAGTGATGTCACTCACTGGTTGTGCTTCTCTCTGCCTGCTACAGCTATTCCAAAAATGGTCAAAGAGGTGGAATTCGCTACACAGCTAGTGGTTAGCCGTCTGTAGCGGGATCCACATGACCATTACTTACGTTCAGTACTGATTCCTCAGTTCAGTAGTATGTTTCAGTAGTATGCTTTTTTGCCAAGAGATTTCTAGTCCAAACTACTGCATTCGCTTCAGTTCATACATTACCCTATACTAGCACTGTACATAAGGTTAGTACGGTATCTTAGCAGCCTATCGTATAATGTTGATAGCACTCTCAGTCAACGGTGAGGGGAGTTCCACTACTAAAACCTAATCAGTAACAATTGCAATTATAGTCAGTTCAGTTTAAAAACTTGTTGTTAAAGAGTTAACACTTTTCTAAATTATCTAATATTAGTGTGCTAACATGCTAAAGTAGGATAGGAAAGAATATACCTGATAAACATCAGCATAGCATACTGACCTTAGCATTTAGCTCAAACCCCTCCTGTGCATAAGTACAACCTCAGAGCTGTTGGTATAACTGTAGACTGTAGGATAATGGACCACAGTTATAATGAAGTTCAGATAATCTGCATTATTTAAAACAAAATAAAGTAAAATAAAAATAATATTTTGGATTTGCATCAAAATATAGAAGTCAGACAGATTTAGAAATTATAGTGCATTGTTCTCTGTAGCCTCACACTGAATCAATGTTGGCCTTTTAGCTGACAAGCTTAATACACATAGCACTTATAAATGCAGGTAAGGAGTCAGTTACAACCTCAGCACTTCTTTCAGTTTCACCACTGTCTGCATCTCATTAAAACTATTGTTTGTAAATGTCTTTATAAAAGAAGACGTCATTCATTCAATGTGGCAAGGAGCACGGACATACAGTATTTTCACACATGCCCTGATTGAGCACAATCCTTTTCTGGCAGACAGTAGCAAGTGCTTTTTGCTGCAGCTACAGTAAATCCTACAAGGCAGCATCATGCTTGTGTTATTGCAATTTTGTTATCACAGCTTCATCTATAGTGAAACAGCATACAGACTGTTCCTCCACAGCTGGTCTATGGCCTCCGAACAGTTAACAGCTACAACAGTTGGCACACTTGTTCACTGAGATGCAGTAAAAGTTGCATCAAAGCTGCTTCTCTGTCCCACTGTTTCTATTTATCACTTCATCCTGTCTCTGTTTCCCTGTTTGTTCCTGAGTTTTTACCTCCCCTCTACCAGCACCTTTGTAACTAGAGTCCTCTGTGTAAAAAACAGAGATGACATAATAGCATCCTATTATTACTTAATACAAAACCAAAAATCCTTTTGAAGTGATTGCAGTTTGTAGTTACTCTTGTACCTGCCTTTATGGCTAATTGCACTTTAAATGCTCTGTGTCCCACCATGAATTATTCTTGTGTCGCTGAGACTTTAATTACCATCAAAATGGTTTATATTATATTTACATATCAAATTGCAAGTGGTGCATGACTGTGGGGCTTAACAGGTAAAAGAAATACATTGCTTGTGTACTGCCTGGCTGCCATTATGGGCTGCTTATGTATTGTGTCAACTGCTTGTCCAGCTCTAAAGTGGCACTGTAGTTTAGAGTTTTCTTATTATAACAAAAGTACAAAGACTATTTAAGATTCAGAGCATTTGACAAAGAAAAAATGATTAATGGTACGGTTTTTAAACCAATCCTGTAAATTGTTTGAGATGGCTTAATTGGGTCAGAATCTGGACAGAGTCTTGTGGTGTTCTCGTGCCTCAAGAGGATTCCTGGATGTGCACTTGTGCTTGTTTTGCCTAGGGCCAGTAAGCCCATTCAGAGAGAGAAGCTAAAGCTACTCCCCCTTTATTACTGCAGAAAGCAATTGCTTGGAAGAAAATGCCAGAATGGTGCTTTGAATTCCTGGAGGGGCCCATCACAGAGACACAGCCCACGGAGCTGAGACAGCTAGCATCTGGAGCAAAGACATGGTAAAAGTGGAGAGAGAAAAGGGGGAGGAGGGAGGTGGAGAGAGGGAAATAGGGACCAAGATGGCAAAGAGGGAGTGAGAATGAGAGAGCAGGAGAGAAGAAAGACTCAGAGTGCACAAGGGAGGCAGAGAAATGGTGAATGTGAGATAGACAGAGCAAAGGGTTGACAAAAGAGGAGTAGATAGAGCTTGGGGGAGAAAAAAGGACTGCACAGGCAATGAGACAAAAGACAGACAGACGAGAACATTCAGACGGTCCACCAATTGACAGTCAGTTGGGGAATAAAGTCAGCTAACACAATGAAGCAGCCAGCAGACAGACTCGCCTCAGAGTAGCTGAGAGGCTCTCAGAAGTAGAAACAAATATTACATTAGAAGAGACAGAAGCCATTTGTCACTGTGGGAGGCCTGAGAGGTAGTTAAGCTGCAGAATATAGGGACCCATGGCCTGGTTGATACATGTCGCCACAAGGAGGAAATTGTGCTGAAGTCAACTCCGTTCAATCAATTGTCTGGTGTCCTTCAGTGACTCCCTCACTTAACAAGATAATGCCAGCAAGCAAGTTTCACCAGCCTAACTCTCAAGAACTTGTTATGGGGCCTTGAGGGCCTCTCCTCATTCCTTCTCTCGATCCTTTTCCTGCTCCTTTCATGCTCCCATCCCTCCCTTCCTCCTAGCTTGTCAGACACATGACCTCCACATCACAGCATGGTGACATACTGTACATGCTCACAGTCACCATTCACTTTGAATGTTTCTGAAAGATCTGTCTGCTGGACATTTATGGACTACATGACAGCTCTGTCTGCATCCAGATGTCAGAGGTGGTTAAGAAACTGTTTCAGGGTTTAGTAGATGAGGACAGACGGCCACAATCAGCTTGGTCAGTCAGGCACTCTCCTCTTAGCCCTGTGCTGCAACGTGCATCACCTGGCCCTCAATTTGAAATGTGCCTCTTTAAATAATAGCTGGGGTATTTTCATACTAACAAAAGCATCTATTTTCTTCTCTCTGTCTTTCTTGCTCTTTCCTTTTACTCTTTCTTCTTTTCACCAAGTTATGCTGCTAACATTATTCATGATTGATTCGAAAATTACAATGCACTTGGCCTCGTTTATCTTACAGTGTTGCTTGTTGCTGCTCCAACAACCATTTTGGGATGCAGAAATGATGAACTGATTTGTAGCTGCTGTTGCAGAAAGCAAAAGGGATATACTGTAAAAATTCGATCTGAGACTCCGCATAGCCCAGAGGATGAAGATTGTTTTCTGTTTTAATGGAAAAACAACCACTGTGCCTACAAACAAGGCAGTAATCTCAATATTTCTACAGACACATACTGCATTGAGTGTCAAGTCCAACAAATGTCATCAACTGGATAAATCAAAAAGGTATCACTAAATACAGTGCAATTGAAATATTTTAAATGTATTGTACTATATGTACCACTATAAGTCTTCCCCATTAGCTTCCTGTTGAATTATGACTGAATTTTTACTTTTCTTCTTCTTACTGTTACAGTTTTGTGGGTCATAGCACATGTTTAATGTATTTAAAGTTTGCCACCCCAACACTTATTATATATGAAGAAAAACGATATGACATACAGTGGAGTGGCTGAAGCTGGACATTTCAGTCCATATCCATTATTTCTAGCAAACGTTTTTGCCCAATTTAACAATTCTGTTTAAGTTGTTCACCCAATACATTTAGCTGTTTCAACTGAATAAATGTCACTTTTGGCTTTTTCCCGTTTAGGGGTCGCCACAGTGAATCATCACACTGACGACTCGCATGTTGACATTTGGCATGTGTTTTACGCCGGGTGCCCTTCCTGACGGAACCCTGATTCAAACCCGCGCCACTTGTGCTGTCCATTTAGGAAGCACAAGTGATTGTGAATCAGTTTTGCCTACTGTTGTGCAAATAAAAGTGACAACGGGTAGAGGCAAAAGCAAGACAACCCCCAAAGAGGGACACACACACAGACAAATGCTCTTTTCATATCCTTCCTGACTAATTATTCTCAAATTTTGTGTTTTGCTAGTGTCCTTGTCACTACTGGTACTATAATGCAGTACCTCACCCTTTGTGCGCTGTGAGACCCCTACAGAATGACTTTCTCCTCTTATGGTTTGTACTTGCTTCCTGTTTTTGTGCTTTTATTTTGGTTAGATTTCCTGTCGTGTCACCTCACCTGCCCCAGCTTTACCCCAGTTCACAATTACTGTTCATTGCTTCCACCTGCTACTCGTTACCCCCTGGTTCTTCAGCCCATATATTCTCCTCCTTTCCCTCAGTCTCTTGCCGGTTCATTCTATTCACCACCCCCAGAGTTTCTGTTTTGTAAGTCTGGTTTTGTTTGGTTTGTTCTTTTGTGTTTTGGATTTTTTCTGTCAGTAGTTCTTTGGTTAGTTTCTCTGGTTTGGTTTTAGTTCCTTACCTAGCTCCCTGAACAAGCGGTTTAGTTTAGCTATTTGGTATTTGTTTCTCTCCATCAAGTTGAGCCCTTGTATTTTTTTCCTGTAGACTCTAGTCTTATATTATTTATTAAAATTCAACTTGAACTTTTCCTTGGCTTGTGTGTCCGCATTTTGAGTCCTATCCCTACACTTGAGTGTGACGCTGGAGCGAGGCTGGCAGGCTGAGCTGGAATCTGCTGGGACCCATATGAAGATGAGAGACCTGTACACGTCTTGTCCCTGGATGGTGGAGATGCAACAACTGGTGGCCTGGTTAATCTCTGCAGAAGCCAGAGCAAGGCAGGACCATGAGAACTTAAGGTCCAGGTATCATCAGTCCCAGCCCTGTGAGACCAGCCTGAGTCCAGGGTAAGCCTGGTCCATTCGGCTTCAGCTCAAGGCTCAAATGGAGCACCCCCTTGCCTCTCACTACCCTGTCTCTATGGACAGAGTCTGCTTCCAAGATGCAGCCAGCCAAATCCTCTGTCTAACACTGCCTCTGATCCCATACCTGTTACCGAGCAGGTTGGCTGGGATGCCAACGCTGTTTCTGATTTTGTTCCAGGTCTAAACTGGTGTGGCTGTTTCCCGGTGTATTGACGAGAAACTGGTGCAGCTGTTTCCTGGTGTTTCCTGACAGAATTTTCCATGCTTTGGTGTGCCGATGAAGACGTCCCCACCAAGGATCCAATTCACTAATGTGCTGAGAAGGAGACCAATGCTGGGGTTTCAATTTCTGTTCCTGAGTGGGTCAGCCGTGGCATTGATGCCGCTTCTGCTCCTGTTCCTGAGTGGGTCAGCTGGGGTGCTGATGCTGGCTCTGACCCTTTTCTGTCACTAAGTGGGTTGGCTGGGATGCCAGCGCTGCCTCTGATCCTATTCCCAAGTGGGTCAGCAAGGGTGCTCACACCACCTCTGTTCCTGAACCCAAGTGGGTCAGCTGGGATGCCAATGCCGCTTCTGATCCTGTTCTCAGGCAGGTCAGTGAGGGTGCTGATGCCGCCTCTGCTCCAGTTCCTGACCGGATCAGCTGGGATGGCACCTCTGCTCAAGTTCCCAAGTGGGTCATCTGTGACACCAATGCCCCTCAGTTCCAGTTCCTGACCAGGAACTGGCCTGGACACTGACACTGTCTCTGTACCAGCTCCCAAGTGGATCAGCTGATGCCACCAATGAATCTGTCTCTGAGTGGGTCGATGTCGCTTTTGATCCTGTCCTTGAGTGGGTCAGCAAGGGTACTGACACCACTCCTGATCCTGTCCCCAAGTGATCCACCATCCTGGTACATCTACAAAAACATCCCCAGGGTTCCTGCTCCCCGGTGGGTCAACATCTTCAATGCCACCTCAGTTCCTGTTCCCCAGTGGTTTGACACAACCACCATCCTGTTCCTGAGTGAGTCGACATCGCTTTTGATCCTGTCCCTGAGTGGGTCAGCAAGAGTGCTGATGCCGCTCTTGCTCCCGAGCATGTCAGCGAGGTTGCTGACACCTCTCCTGATCCTGTACCCAAGTGAATCCACCATCTGGGTAGGCCCATGAAGACTTCCCCAGAGTTCCTCCTCCCTGGTGGGTTGGCGCCTTTGATGCCACCTCAGTTCGTGTTCCCCAGTGGCTCAACACAACCACTGTTCCTGTTCCTGAGTGGGTTGACACCGCATCTGTCCCAGTTCTTGTATGACTCAGTGCCATCACCGTTCTGGTTTCTGAGTGGGTCGACTCTGCACCTGCACCAGCCCCTGAATGGCACGATGCCACCACTACCTCTGTTCCTGAGTGGGTCAACACCATCTCCACTCCCATTCCTTCATGACTTTATGCCACTTCTCCAGGCCCTTATTTCGGTGCATTGATGACACCTCAGTTCTGGTGCCTCAGTGGGTCGATGATGATGCCCTCACTCCGATGCCTGTGTCTCTGCGAGTCATCAGTGACTCCACCTCTGCCCATGTGTCTCAGTGGATCACCCTTGACAACCCTGTTCTAGTTTTTATATCCTGGTGGGTAGAGGGGGCCGTCTTTATTCCTGCTTCACCCAGTCAGCATTTCTCCAATGCCACTCTGCTAGTCAGCACTACTCCAGTGCGGCACCACTCCTGTTTTGTCAAGTCAGCTCAACTCCTACTTTGCTTAGCCAGTCAGAGCAACTCCGATGCAACTCTCTGCCTACCCAGCACGACCCTGATCTGCCAATTAGTTCCACTCCTGGTCAGTTTGCCCTGCTCCTTCATAGTGGTCCCACCAGATTCCAGCTCAGCCTGCCAGCCTTGCACCCACGTCACACTCAAGCTATCACTGGTCCACTCCAACTCAGCTTCCCTGTTTCACTTCAGGTCTGTACTCCAGCCACTACCTGCCTACACCAGACCTGCCTCCATCCAGCCGGTCCCCAGTGCAGCTATCCTGCCTGAATATAGCCCAACTCACCCACTTTGCTCCCACTTCATTCTGACGCAGCTGCCCTGCCCCATTCCAATTCAGGTCATCCTGCTTGCTTTGTTCCAACCTCACTCCAGTGCTGCCAGCCAGCCAGCTTCACCTCGACTTACTTGCTCTGCTTCTGCCCCGCACCAGTATCACCTACCATCTCCAGTTCAGCCTACCTGCTTTGTGACGGGCTAATCTCAGCTCCACCAACTTTCTATGCCCCAGTCTCACTCTAGTGCCTGCCTCCTGTCCATTCTCCTAAGGACCTCCAATGCCAGCCTTGACCTCCTACTCGGCACCAAGATAATCTTCCTTCCAACTTGGTCGTCCACCCAAATGGCCTCGAGTTCCTGTTTGCCTCCAAAGTTACTTTTCCGAACTACCTCAGACTCCTGCTCAAAGCCGAGGCCGTCCGCCTCAGTTGCCTCGAGTTTATGTTCAACTATGAGGTCGTCCTCTTGAGTGGCCTCTCCAGTCCTCTGCGGTTTCTCCAGTTTTCTGTTGGGTCACTCAGTCACCTTCCCGAGTGGCTTTCCCCGATCCCTGCCAGGTTAATGAGGCTGTCCGCCCAAGCAGCCTTCTCAACTCCCTGTCTGGTCCCGAGGCCGTCCACCCGCATGGTATCTCAAGTTCCCTGATGGGTGTCCCAGTCATCTGCCCAAGCAACTTTCTGCCAGATTTTGGGGTCATCCACCAGAACGGCCTCTCCAGCTTCCTGTTGGGTCCTGAGGTTTCCTGCCTGAACGGCCTCCTCTGCTTTTCGCATGGCACCTGGACCATCCTCCCAGATGACCTCCTTTGCTCATTACCTGGCATCCGGGCCATCTTTCTGAAAGTCCTCCTCTGCCTCTCATGGGGCTGCGAAGTTGTCCTCCAGAGCAGCCTTCTCTGCTGCCTGCCTGGTTCAGTGGCCGTCCACCCGTTCGACCTCTTCAGCCACCTGCCTGGTTTTAAGGGCATCCTTCGGAGCAGCCCTCTCAGTTCACTGCCTGGTTTGGTGGCCATCCTCCCAGTCAGTCACCTAAGTTTTCTGTCTGGTCTCAAGGACGTTTTCCAGAGCAGCCCATTCAGTTCCCTGCCTGGGTCAGTGGCCATCCACCAGAACAGCCTTATCTGCTTCCGCTCTGTTCCAAAGGTGGACTCTTCAGCCTCCTGCCTGCCTGAACTAATTCATCAGCCATCTGCCTGGTCCCAAGGACATATAGCCGGAACCACCTCACCAGCATCCTGCTGGATCCAAAGGTCGACCGCCAGAGTTTATATATTGTGCCTGATCCAGAGGTCATCCTCCTGAGTGGCTTGGCCACTCTCCTGCCTGGGCCAGAGGTCATCTGCCAGAGTGGCTACTCCAGCTTCCTGCCTAGTCCCAGGATTGTCCATGAGAGTGGCCACTCCAGCTTCCTGCCTGATCTTAGGATTGCCCACCAGAGTGGCCAACCCAAGCTCCTGGCTGGGCTCACGATTCCTCTTCAGCTTCCTGTCTGGTCCCAGCATTGTCCACCCAAGTGGCCTGTCTAGTCCCAAGTTCACCCTCTGAAGTGGCTTTTCATTGATGCCAGAGCACCTTTTGGCGTTTGTCCTGAGCTCCCTGCCTATTCTCCAAAGTGGGCATGTTTCTTGACTTGACACTTTTCTTGGACAATTTTGAACTGTTATGTCCTGTGTTGTTTGTGCCCACCTTCCTGGTTAACTGCCTCCTGCCCTGCCTTGGAAGGGGAGAGGGGTTAGATTTCCTGTCTTGTGTCACCTCATCTGCCCTAGTTTTACCCCAGTTTACAATTACTGTCCATTGCTTCCACCTGCTGCTCATTACCCCCTGGTTCTTCAGCCCATATATTGTCCTCCTTTTCCTCAGTCACTTGCTAGTTCATTTTATTCACCACACCCAGATGTTCTGTTTTGTAAGTCTGGTTTTGTTTGGTTTGTTCTTTTGTGTTTTGGATTTTTTCTGTCAGTAGTTCTTTGGTTAGTTTCTCTGGTTTGGTTTTAGTTCCTTACCTAGCTCCCTGAGCAAACTGTTTAGTTTAGCTATTTGGTATTCATTGTTTCTCTCCATCAGGTTGAGCCCTTGTGTTTTTTTTTTCTGTAGACTCTAGTCCTATATTATTTATTACAATTCAACTTGAACTTTCTCATGGCTTGTGTGTCTGGATTTTGAGTCCTATCCCTACACTAGACCTGACATCAATGCGATACTGGTGTGCATGTTTCTGACCAAACTGACTCCATGAGGGTGGCCTTCACCAAAGAACATCAGAATTGACAGATCTGCCATTGGCACCCTGTTCTCTTCACAGATGAGAGCAGGTTTACACTGAGTACATGTGATAGATGTGAAAGAGTCTGCCGTGGTGAACGTTATGCTGCCCGTAACATCATAGAGCATGACCAGTTTGGTGGTGGGTCAGTGATGGTCTGGGCAAGCATATACTTGGAAGGTCACACAGACCTCCATGTCATAGTCAATGGTACCCTGACTGCTGTGAGGTACCAGGATGAAATCCTCAGAGCAACTGTCAAACCTTACGCTGATGCAGCAGGCCCTGAATTCCTCCTGGTACAGGACAACACCCGGCCTCATGTGGCCAGTGTGTGTATACAGTTCCTGGATGACAAAGGCATTGATGCCATTGACTGGCCCGTCAGGTCGGGGAGGAGATCCCTCAGGACACCATCTGCTGACTCATCAGGAGCATGCCCAAACATTGCTGGGAGTGCATATAGGCATGAGGGGACCATACATACTTATCAGTCACATTATGAGTTGGATGAGACTGTGATTTAAATCTATCACTTCGATTTTCAGTGTCATTTTTGAATGCAGCCTTCCATGGGTTGATGATTTTGGTTTCCATTGAACATTTTTGTCATTATATTCTGAACAAATATAAATTAGTCAAGGTTTTCAGCTTGAATAATTCATTTACCAAGATGCTATATGTGTGATTTAGTCCATAATTTTTGGGGGGCAGTGTATTTATCCATTACTTGCTGTATATTTGAAATCCAACAATTACTTTTAACTAACACACTCTCCCCCATGGGCCTTTGGCAATGGTAGATCCTTCCATTGTCACAGTGACAGCAGAACATGCAAGTTATGTCTGCCTCTTCAGGGATGAAGAGCTTATTACAGCCTCTCAGCAGGGACCCCATAGGCAACAATGTATGTGATGTGCATGTGACTCAATCAGTGAAATTTATTCAAAGCTCTGTTTTAAAAAATACTGTTGGATATTACCCTTTGTGCTATCAAACACATTATTAAATCCCCTATTTCATGTGAAGACCTGCATTTACACAAACTTGGGAACACTGTTTTCAGAAAAATAGCCAAACACAGTTTCTTTTGATTTCATGCTTTTCCACAGAATTTCATTCTGGTTTTCATCAATGCATGATATCATCTATTTAACTGGATAGTTTTTGTTTTCATTTACTCAAGATGAGATTTCTCCTCCAGCATTTCATTAGAACCGGTTTCTACTGCTGTTAATGTAAATCCTATTTAAATCTTTGAGTACCCAAACAAAACTCCATTTACCTCCATTCTGTTGGGAAGGAAGAAGAAAATTTAGAGGTAGATGTTTCAAAATCCTGAGGAAATGAAATCAAACCTATCTGTGAGACTAGATACCAATATTCAACTTGGTCTCCTCAATATGTATATTCTGCAAAATATTTTTGCATACTTTTTTTTGATGACATTTCTATATATTTTGTATTATGTCTTGCACACTAATTAAACAATATTTCTTAAACTATCTTATCAAGAATAATTAATGCAGATAGAATATAGATTTTTACACTATCAACTCAGGCTTGCATTGATGTCTGTGTATATATAATATTGGAGAGTAATTTTATTTTGACAAAAAATTATCTGTTATCATAGCATGGTGCATGTGTCACCAGCTCCCCAATTAAATGAGAAGCTCTTGGTAGCAAGTGGTGGTTGATGAATCAATCCTACACACTCACATAAATGTAATTACTTCATTTGTCAATGTCTGGGGAGACCACATCAAGTTCAGTGTACCCACAGCTTCCAGCGGAGAAATAGAGAACTCCTCAGAGAGATATAAAGGACTCCATCTGTCACTCTAGGTGTGAAGAGGAGTGATTTATGGATCTGATGAGTCATATTTTTGAGTCCCAGCCACTTTTCGCACCTTACATCCACCTAGATCAAAAAGCAAAACCCTAACTAGACACTTCAAAAGACCTCACATATCCGCATTACATTTCTACAACAGAAGGTCAAAGGTCAAAGTGTTTATTTCGCATATGCACAGTTAGGAAACGTGTTTCCCTGTACAATGAAGTTCTTACTTTGCCATCCACAGGACTGCCACACAATACAAGTGAAATATAAAATAGATAAATAAGTAACACAAAATCTAAGGCACTTTAAGTCAGCAATGAATGTGCAAGCTCAGAATATAAACAGTCAGGTGGAATTACATGAAGTGATTCCTGATTATAAACTCCTGTCAGCTGTTTAGGAATCTGATGGCAGTTGGAAAGAAAGAGTCCTGCATTTCACACTGAAATGTGAGGGTAGAGGTGTGAACAGTCCATGCTAGGGGTAGGCCGAGTCCTTGAGGATGGAGGTAGCCTGGTGATCATCTCAGCAGTCTTTACCACTCTCTGCAGGCACTAGCGGTCCATAGCAGTAGTGCTGCCATACCAGACAGTGATGCAGCTGGTCAAGATACTCTCAATGATGCAGCTGTAGATGTTGCTGAGGATCCTAGGATCCATGCCAAACCTCCTCAGCCTCCTCGGGAAGTACAGCTGCTGTTGGGCCTTCTTGACCAGCTGCGTGGTGTTAAGTGTCCAGGTGAGGTCCTCACTGATGTGGACGCCCAGGTATTTGAAGCTGCTCACCCTCTCCCCTTCGAGC